TTGTTCTAAAGTTTTTTGTCCTTTTTATTGTAAATTAATCAGTAAATAAATGCCAAAGATGGTGCCAATCTATTCGCCACTCAACAATGATTGCATTGTTGGCGGGTGTATTGGTTGTAGAAAAGATTCATGCCGTTTAATTTGTAGCCGAGGCTGTTCTTTTAAGGATGCTGGTGCTGTTTAAACCTGCCTGCTTTGTGTTGTCATCTTCACTCCTCCACATTGGTTACCTCGACGTGATCCAATGTGGAGAAGTGAAGATGACGACACAAAGCAGGAAGGTTTAAACAGTTCTTTACTCTACTCCAACTGAGAGCAACTGTACAGAAAATCCATATATATATATATATATACATCCGAAAAAACATAACTACAATCTCTCCACTGAGTGAGAGTGGAGCCCCCTAGTTGTCCGCCACAATACATTTCTTATTTACAGTCAATTTGTTATAAATTCAATATTGATATAACCAAACGCCTGAACAAACATATGACAATTATCTTACCAACTTTATAAAAACTCCAATGTAACATTTTAGAAATATTTTCCTTCAAAAACACATAAAATCCTGAATGTTAGTGAGTGGCAAAATGCTGAAGTCGTAGACTAATGTATGTTGAATTATCAGTGTCATCAGTGAAAGTGTCATATCACCTTTACTAAATAAAATTATATTGCAATATGCATTCAAATTCAATTTTCAACTCCTAGTCCATATCAAATATTTTTTTTCAAAATTACATTGGGTACACCTTTTAAATATCTTACTGGTTCTGTACATTACCATGTGCTCCGAGCAGCCTGAGCTTCTGACCAGTGACTAGGGGTGTGCAAAATAATCGTCATGATGATGAATCGTGATTCTAATTTTCATGATCTACTGCATCGATTCTTGACGCCAAGAATCGATTATTAATTAAAAAAAATGAATAAATAAAATTGCATGAATGGTTGGTGAACATCAGCCAAAAACAAGTGTAATACAATTTCCAGTCCAGTAGATGTCGCTGTTGACGCACGCTGCCTTGTGTCGCAACCATTTCCGTCCGCGGGATAATGCGCTGAGTCATTCAAAAACAAAACATGGAGCAGATTGAGGAACTTCGTCCGGCTCCATCACATTTCAAATCCGATGTTTGGAAGCATTTTGGATTTAAAAACAAAGGTAAAAATGAAGCCGATATGACCCACGCAATTTGCAAACACTGCTACACCAACATTAAATACTGTGGGAACACAACGAACCTAAAA